GCATCTTCGATGCATGGGGGCCACGGGCCAATGATGTAAAGTCAAGTGCTTTTGCAATTAAAAAAAAACTTTCAAAAGAGATCATTGTTTCGGATATGCCACTTGATCTTGGCAGGTCGCTTACCGAGTCGCTATTGGTCAAACAATAAAATTGGGGGGTGGGCGTGGAACTGCCACATCTAAGTGTTTAAAAGACGCATGCAGAAGAAGATCAGCATAAATTTTCACTTTCCCATAGTTCCTACGGTTTGTAACCTGGAACCCTACCATGAGCTCCATGGAATGAAATTCCATCTGGGAATGACGTCACGTTCCAACGGGAATTATTTTTCCCCACCACGAACACCTTGGAAAGAGTTTCTTGGCTGGAATTGGAATCGGTTACATTCCAACCAGTCTCCGGCACCTGGAATCGTCGTTCCAAGGAGGGAATGATGAATTTTTAAGGACTAAATACGATATTTCGTCGATGATTGTCTTAATTTTTTTCTATTTCATGAGAGAAGATAACAAAATTTCTAAAAGATAAACGTGCCCGAGCCATTTTCAAGACGATAATTAAAAGAGAAATGTTTTGTTTCATTAGTATGTGTGAACGAAAATATACTTTCAGAGTTAACTAAGAAATTACGGCAAACTAAAAATAATTATGCTCTCAAATAATTGTTACTATTTCTATGTTATTATTACGGGATGTATTACTTGGCCAATACCCTTTTTTGAAGTTCCAATCATTTCTTTTTTTAATTTTCTTTCGATGAACTTTTAATTCAACAATATTTAACTTCCTTTCGAACGATAGTTCTTTATACTATACACCAATGGCAGCACATTTAAAAGAATTTTTTACAGGCATGATGTATTATAAAGTAAACAATTTATTTATAATAAGAAATACAAAAAAGAATAAAAACGTTTCAAAAAATATTTATGAAATTTGTATTTATTTCTTCTCTTACTCATTTTAAAAATTTTTATTCTCATTCTTCCATTAAAATAAAGCTGCGAAAGTAATTCCCTGAACTATAATTTTTAAGTATTTAATACGTAAAATGATTTTACAAATCACGAAAAAAATTTTACGCAGATCTAGAAATTAATTTCTTGTGAACATATTTATTTAACTATCAGTAAAAACAGTCACTTTTATAATGTAACAAATAAACCAAAGTAATAAGCAAAGTAGTAACTTTTTAGTCATTCATATTGTTACAATTTTAATTGAAAACTAATGAACTTTTCTGAAATTAAATTAATTTCAAAGTGATCAAGGTAAGCGTTAATTGTTTTGTCTGATAAAATTTGAATTCTTTCTGGAAATTAGTTTAGATTTAAAAACTAGTATAATTAGTAATCTATCTACTTGCAGTTCTCAGGCACGAAATTTTGAATCTTAATTCATTAAAATATGATCATTATTTTAAGAGTTGTACTTTTTAAAAAATATTTAAAATAAATAATGAAACGTATTAAGGGATATATCAGAAATATTTATTATGAAAAAAGGATTTTATTTTATGAATTATACATGATAAATATGACAGTTTTTAATTAATAAAACTATATGTATAATAAATTGAAGAATATTTCAAAGTATTCGCAGTTCATGTTTTTTTAGTCTAATGAAAACAAAAAACATTATAAAAATAAAACAATAAGTAGTCAAAAATATTATCTAAATAGCAGAAGCTCGTTTCGTTTTACTCATGCTAATGCTGCCAAACTCAAAAAGAAAATCTAAAGTAAATTGTGTGATTGGTTAAATTTTAGCCACGCCCTGAGAGCGAGTTATCGTGGAATGTCCGATTCCAAGGGAGTGTTCATGGTACGGTATTGAGCATTCATGGAACCAAACTTTCCCAGTTTCACTTTCCAGCCGGGAATCTTCATTCCATTCCCGGTAGTTCATGGTAGGGCCCCTGATTTGTTTTTTATAATGGAAAGGAAACGGAGAGATCTTACTGTGAAAGAAAAGGTTGACATTTTAAATCGTTACGATAAATTGCCGAAAATGAGCCAAAGGAATATTCTTTTGCTAAGGAATACTTTCAATTGAACAGCATATGCTGCTGTTCAATTGAAAGTATTGCAGCCGCTTTTGGGCAAAATTTTAAAAAATCGTGAAGATATCAAAAAAACGTGCACTTTGAACGAAAATCTGAATTTTAAAAGAAATCGAGACGGAAAAGACAAAGAGGTTGAATCTGCATTAAAACTCTGGTTCACAAACGTTCGTGAAAGGGACTCTCGTGTTAATGGTCCAATTTTGCGCCAAAAAGCTGAAGATTTAGCTGCAAAATTGGGTAAAGGGAACTTCGTAGCCATAGAAGGATAATTCCACCGCGGGAAAAAGAGACAGAACATACTCTTCCGAAGGATACACTGTGAACAAAAAGATGCCGACAATGTAGCCGCAGATCAGTGGATTAAAGAATGGCCTAAACTTATTGCCACATATTCACTTGAAGATGTATATAACGCTGATGAAACTGGCCTATATTTTTACACACCTACTACACTTTATTACACACCTACATGTTTCAGAAGGAAAGTACGCAAGGTTGTAAAACCTCCATGGAACGCCCAACTGTGCTATGTTGCGCTAGCATGACCGGCACTAAAGAAAAACTTTTAGTGATTGGAAAAAGTAAGAAGCCCCTCTGTTTCAAAGGTGTGAAAAATCTGCTCGTCGATTATTTTGCCAACAAAACGGCTTGGATGACTACCACCATCTTTAACGAATGGCTGTTGAAATGAGACAAACGACTAAAACGGAACATACTCCTGCTCATAGACAACTGCACTGCGCATGATGTAACTGTTTCATTAAAGAAGATAAATATCGTGTTCCTACCACCAAACACCACTTCTTTAATTCAACCGTGTGACCAGGGAATTATCTGCACTTTGAAGGCATATATTACAGAAAGGAAATGCGTTCAAGGATCTTAGACCAAGACGCTGAAGATCTTAATGCGAACGCTAGGGCAACAAAAAAAAATGTTTTGGATGCCATACATTTGTTAACAATGTCATGGAATAATTGCATAAAATTTGGTAAACCTAGTTCAAACATTTATAAAAGTATGGCCATATTTATAAAAAAACCCCATTAATATATATTGTCTTCATGGGCTATAACTCTGATTTGAATATCTTAAAAATTCACTAAGTCTTTAGAAATATTCTAAATAGTACTTGAATTTTTAAAAGAAAGCTCTAAATGATTTGGGTTTTCAACAAATTTCATTTTGCATCATAAGACGAAATTAAACAACAAATGATTCCTTACAATAGTCGTCCGTACACTGAAATGTGATGGTATAAAGAAAGAAAACATACATTTATGGAGGATGATCCCCCAAAATGCTGCAGTCATTTTAAACAAATCTTATTTAAAATTCCAGAATAAGATTTGTGGAAAACCGATTATCATTCAATGCTTTCTTTGTAAAGGTACAAATACTGATTAGAAAATTGCAAATAACTTTGTAAATGTTCCAGATATTCGAATCAGTCTTTTTCATTAGATTCTGAATACAATTCACTAAAAAAATTATTACTTTTTCTCTGCACATGCGAAGTATGAAAGGAACTACTTTAAATGCTCAGATCTTGGGCAATTTTTTACGAATTTTATTTCAAACCTTTAAATAATAATTTTGTTAATTAAAATCTTTTCTGAAACTTTTGTTAAATATTTTTTAAACTTCAACCAAAAAATTAACAATATTTTGCTATAATTAAGGTAGGTTTACAAAATTTAATTCAACTATTGAAAACAACAACCACAGTAATCAATGCAAGTTACAAGTTTCTGGCTATATTTTTCTGTCATAGGGTGTTCAATAATACTTGTTTTAGTTCATAATTTATTATTGCTCTCTTAAGCCTGTGAATGCTTTGAAACTTATTTATAAATATGAGAAATTGCATGACCTAAACATCTTTAAATTACAAAATAATCATCTCAGTACTTTTTGAGAAATTTAAAAAAAATTTCAAAAGCTGCAAGTGTTTTCTCCATTATTATACAGTAGTGTAACTTATACAAAATAATTTTGAAAGGTGATCGAGCTGGTAGCTTAAGGTGGCTAGTACTGAATACTTTTGATAATTATATTCAGAGCTATAATTTAGGAGCTATTTATTACTATTTTCAAATCAAGTAGATGGAAAAATAATTGTTCAACAAATGGAAAATCAAAAGTAAGTTTTCTAGCACATACGTGGTAAAAAAACGATTAATAATAGCAGTTAGCAACTGTTGTCACAGGTTACTACATACATTGAATGTAAAAGTTCACCACTAGATGCCATAATTAGCTAAACTGGTTTAAAATACAACACTCACTAGAGTACAAAAGTTAGGATTTTAAACTTTTCATAACGCTTTTCTTATGTCACATAATCTACAATAGTAAATCACACCATAATATACGTTACTGTGAACAACCAGAATGCTATTTTATGAAAATATTTTATTACACACACACAAAAAAAAAATTTGTTTATCCAGCCTTATAAATTCAACTTTTCACAATGCTGAGTTATTTGACATAGAGTACAAAACTTACACCATAATGTTATATTAACTGGTGATAAAGTAATGTTATACAGCATACAATGTTACAAATTCCAAATAAGATGTGTCTGTAAACCTGTGTTTTATTTAAAATTCTTAACTTTTCTAAATTGAAGTTTATTTTTAAGACACTACTTATAAATAAACATAAGAAAGGAAAAATGATGAAATCTGCAAAATAAAATTTAAAACTATTTGAAAAGAAAATGCGTAAATAATTTCAGTAGACTGTGTTTAGTCAGATGACACTTCAGTGAAAAACATTTATCTTTAATGCAAGAAAGTTAATTCACAATACGGACATGACTGTGTTCAGTCATTTTACTATATAGTGAAAATCTACTCTTACATACCAGGGTTCGTGATTTTTTTGATTTTTTTAAAAAAAATCAAAAGAGCCACGCCCTGNCAAGAATATAGCTTCTAAACAGAGTGAGCATGTAAACATTTAGATCATTGAAAACTCATTTAAAATATACTTCTAAAACACGGTATATCACTTTTTTGAAAAAGATTATGTTTAGTATAAGGACATTTTTGAGATAAAAAACTCATATTACATTATGCTACAACAAGAAGGTTTCCTCACCAATGTGAATACAACCAGAAACAGAAGTCAGCCTTTTAAGAAGAACTCTTTTTACATATGCTACAAAAGTGAAGTTTTTACAGGTATGAATACAACTGTGATTACCAGGATAGTCCTTATGCAACATACTATTTTTACAGATACAAGAATATAGCTTCTAAACAGAGTGAGCATGTAAACATTTAGATCATTGAAAACTCATTTAAAATATACTTCTAAAACACGGTATATCACTTTTTTGAAAAAGATTATGTTTAGTATAAGGACATTTTTGAGATAAAAAACTCATATTACATTATGCTACAACAAGAAGGTTTCCTCACCAATGTGAATACAACCAGAAACAGAAGTCAGCCTTTTAAGAAGAACTCTTTTTACATATGCTACAAAAGTGAAGTTTTTACAGGTATGAATACAACTGTGATTACCAGGATAGTCCTTATGCAACATACTATTTTTACAGATACAAGAATATAGCTTCTAAACAGAGTGAGCATGTAAACATTTAGATCATTGAAAACTCATTTAAAATATACTTCTAAAACACGGTATATCACTTTTTTGAAAAAGATTATGTTTAGTATAAGGACATTTTTGAGATAAAAAACTCATATTACATTATGCTACAACAAGAAGGTTTCCTCACCAATGTGAATACAACCAGAAACAGAAGTCAGCCTTTTAAGAAGAACTCTTTTTACATATGCTACAAAAGTGAAGTTTTTACAGGTATGAATACAACTGTGATTACCAGGATAGTCCTTATGCAACATACTATTTTTACAGATACAAGAATATAGCTTCTAAACAGAGTGAGCATGTAAACATTTAGATCATTGAAAACTCATTTAAAATATACTTCTAAAACACGGTATATCACTTTTTTGAAAAAGATTATGTTTAGTATAAGGACATTTTTGAGATAAAAAACTCATATTACATTATGCTACAACAAGAAGGTTTCCTCACCAATGTGAATACAACCAGAAACAGAAGTCAGCCTTTTAAGAAGAACTCTTTTTACATATGCTACAAAAGTGAAGTTTTTACAGGTATGAATACAACTGTGATTACCAGGATAGTCCTTATGCAACATACTATTTTTACAGATACAAGAATATAGCTTCTAAACAGAGTGAGCATGTAAACATTTAGATCATTGAAAACTCATTTAAAATATACTTCTAAAACACGGTATATCACTTTTTTGAAAAAGATTATGTTTAGTATAAGGACATTTTTGAGATAAAAAACTCATATTACATTATGCTACAACAAGAAGGTTTCCTCACCAATGTGAATACAACCAGAAACAGAAGTCAGCCTTTTAAGAAGAACTCTTTTTACATATGCTACAAAAGTGAAGTTTTTACAGGTATGAATACAACTGTGATTACCAGGATAGTCCTTATGCAACATACTATTTTTACAGATACAAGAATATAGCTTCTAAACAGAGTGAGCATGTAAACATTTAGATCATTGAAAACTCATTTAAAATATACTTCTAAAACACGGTATATCACTTTTTTGAAAAAGATTATGTTTAGTATAAGGACATTTTTGAGATAAAAAACTCATATTACATTATGCTACAACAAGAAGGTTTCCTCACCAATGTGAATACAACCAGAAACAGAAGTCAGCCTTTTAAGAAGAACTCTTTTTACATATGCTACAAAAGTGAAGTTTTTACAGGTATGAATACAACTGTGATTACCAGGATAGTCCTTATGCAACATACTATTTTTACAGATACAAGAATATAGCTTCTAAACAGAGTGAGCATGTAAACATTTAGATCATTGAAAACTCATTTAAAATATACTTCTAAAACATGGTATATCACTTTTTTGAAAAAGATTATGTTTAGTATAAGGACATTTTTGAGATAAAAAACTCATATTACATTATGCTACAACAAGAAGGTTTCCTCACCAATGTGAATACAAACAAAAAGAGCCAAGTCAGTCTTTTGAGAAGAATTCTTTTTACACATGCTTTTTTACAGGTATAAATATAACTGTGATTACCTGGATAGTCCATAAGTAAAAAATTAGTTTTACAAATACAAGAAAATGTGATACATACTTCTAAACAGCGTGAACAAGAATGTGTTTAGACAGTGAACGATTTTGTGAGAATTTCTTATTACATATACCACAAGAATAAGGTCTTTCACCAGTATGAACACGACTGTGTTTCCTCAGATAATTTCTTACTGAAAATTTTTTGTTACATATACTACAAGAAAAAGGTTTCTCACCAGTATGAAGACGACTATGTAGAGTCAAATTACTTCTAAATGAAAATCTTTTATTACATATACCACAAGAATAAGGTTTCCCATTATGAGCATGTGTGTGTTTACTCAGTGCACCTCTTTCTGAAAAACTCTTATTACATATACTACAAGAATAAGGCTTCTCACCAGTATGAACAAGACTGTGTACTGTCAGATTACCTTTTTGTGAGAAACTCTTATTACATATATCACAAGAGTAAGGCTTCTCACCAGTATGAACACGACTGTGTACAGTCAGTGCATATCTTTTTGAGAAACTCTTATTACATATACCACAAGAATAAGGTTTCTCCCCATTATGAGCACGTGTGTGTATAGCCAGTGTACAACTATATGAAAACCTCTTATTACATACACTACAAGAATAAGGTTTCTCACCAGTATGAACACGTCTGTGTACAGTCAGTGCACCATTTTCTGAAAAATTCTTATTACATATACTACATGAAAAAGGTTTCTCACCTCTATGAACACGACTGTGTTTAGTCAGTGTACTTTTTCGTAAGAAACTCATATCACATATTCTACAAGAAAAAGGTCTCTCACCAGTATGAACTTTAGAGTGTTTCGTCAGATAGTTTCTTAGTGGAAAACTTTTATTACATATACTACAAGAAAAAGGTTTCTCACCTGTATGGACATGACTGTGTGCAGTCAGTAATTTTTTTCTTGAGAATCTTTTATTACATATACTACAAGAATAAGGCCTCTCACCACTATGAACACGACTGTGTTCAGTCAAACACCTCCTAAATCGAAAACTTTTATTACATATACTACAAGAATAAGGCCTCTCACCAGTATGAACATGCCTGTGTGCAGTCAAATAATCTTTAAATGCAAAACTTTTATTACATACACTACAAGAATAAGATTTTCTTATAGGATGAATAACTCTATGTTCAATAAGTTTATTTTTCTGAGAAAATTTTTTTTCTCCCATACTCCATGAACAAGGTTTCTCAACTGGGAGCAGAAAAATGTGAATAGTTGGGTGAAGAATTCTGATTACATTTACTGCAAGTAATAAGTTTCTACCTAATATAAGGAATATTATGCTTTAAAAAATTATTTAACATACACTATCAGAGTACTGAGTATTTACTTATTAACTACACATGGAGCATGGACCACTTATTAGCACATAAACTACAAACATTAAATTTCTAAGTAAGCAAATATTTTTGTTCTAGAACATCACTACCACTATGACACACAGTGCATAGATACTATTTGCTGGTATTGTCACAACTTAGAATGTTACTGTCGACACAGAATGATAATGCCTTTAATAATAATATTTCTTTCTGCCAGGAAGCATTTAACACACACTGCATGAATAGTTTATTAATAATATAAATCGTGCTGGAAATACAAATATTTTAAAATTCTTTTTAACACGAATTCTGTTTACTGTTAGCAAGAAGAAAATATTTTTTTCAATTATTTTCAGTATAAAGATAACACATGAAAATACACTTTTTAAAACGCTTTTTCCATTTCTATAAATGCAATCCACTTTATATTGGTAGATTTTTGATACGCAAGTTTATATATTTCAGTATATGTAAGAGAGTTTTATTGCATCTCATACCCCAGTACGAATATATCTTCGAAATTAAAATAGTACATTAAGTAATGCACAACGAAAAAACAATTTTATAAAGCTTTTCTTTACATAAATAAGGTTAACAAAAGTCGTCTTCGGTTTAAGTAAGATAGTCTGTTTTAATTTAGTTTATCTCTGAAGAATTTTTACAAAGAAGTGCACATTACTGGTAAAAGTTGTTTACGTCTATGGGGATGATGATTACTGTCGGGCATTTTTGGAGCTGCTTGGTTGCGTTTACAGCTCGCTAATTGAAGCTCATATGGATGGTGTTTTCTACACTAGGGAGCGCTGAAAGCTGTATACCGCCTTACAGTTCCCGGTGTATTTCAAAGTCATTTGGCTCACAACGTGTCAATAATATATGCAAACTTTCAAATTTAAACCTGAATTATAATGTATAAATTAATCTTGCTCCTCGAACAATATACTAACACTAACATGAGATGGTGCACAGCTTGCAACACGAACAAACAGTAATAAACAAATGGAAGGAGGCCAAATCAAGACTGCAAAAGAAAGCGAGTTATTCAAAATCTAGCAACCATGTCACCGTTTTTAACAATATATCTCTAAATAATTAAAATAAATTTTCACTTCAAACTCCCCAAAATTACATAATAACATTAATATCTTATGAAATACGGCAGATTTGAGCTCAGAAATTATTTAATTTTTTTCTTTTATTGAAAACAAAATTATTCGTTTGAAAATATTGTCTCGCAGAATAACATGTAGTAAGCAGCTGCAAACTTTCTAACCGGAACTAGAGCAGGCATACAGCTCGAGATTGTTATTGTTTACATTTCTACTGAAACCACCATCCATGAGATGAATATCTTTAAGGAATTCTATTAATGATTGTAGTCTGTTGTTGTCAGAAGTGTCCATCAGTGATGAAAAGGACGGGGCTCCGAAGATAAGTTGTTTTCGGAGTACGGAGCGTTGTTGACTCAAAAGTGGGCATATGGGTATTATGAGGTCAATATCTGCGGGAGAACCGCATCTACATTTATTGTCTGGTGCTAGGCCAAAGAGGAATAGTTTAGCTTTTGTTGGATATGTTCTGCTTCGAATTCGAGAAAAGATTACGCCTTGGTGTCTGCAGGAGAGGAAAAGTCTGTGTTCTTTAGTTTGTGGTGATATTAGTTTAAACCATGTCAACCTTCATCTATCAAAAGGTGCCTCGAGATAGAATCATGCTAACATGTCTTATATACTAGTGATTCGGTATTTAATATTTGTAGTGGTAGTTACGCCACATTACTCCCCTTCCAGAATTTTATCTGTGATAGAATTTGATGAACAATTACCACTTGTTGATTCATGCTATTAATATATTTAGTTAATTTTTGCTCATTATATTTTTTTCATTTTTTTATAGCATTTCGCTCATAATTTCTTTTTCTTTTTTTACATTTTCCCATCATTATTTTGTTTATAGCATTTCGTTTATTTTTTTTCCCTATATTGTTTATTACCGGGAGACTTTATTTACTTCACTGAATCTCCTTTTTTTTTCTTTGATTAATTAATATTAAGCAAATCAACTGTTTAATGTGGACCATCCATCATGTTAGCGAGTAATACTAAATACCAATTTCCTAGTATGTAAGACATGTTAACTTGATTCTATCAAGAGGTACCTTTTGATAGATAAAGGTTGACATATTCGATAATTATAATCCCACAATTTAATATTTGTAGTGGTAGTTTCGCCTCAAGTTATATTGGTCATATGCGGAAAATCTGCGTAGTATTTACTGTTTTCAAAGACTGCTTGTCTAGTTTGTAAGAACAGTTGTTTAATCTCGTGGTATGCGTCTTCTGGTGTAAATTTGTTGTAGATTTCAGGTTTGATTATAGCCGCTTTCGCTACCTGGTGTGCAATTTCGTTACCGAGAATTCCGGAATGACCAGGAACCCACACCAGTTCCACTGATTGGCTGGATACTGAGTGCGTTTCCAAAGAATGTGATAGATGATTGCTTGTGATGAAGCAGAGGTAGAGCCGAGGGCTGTGAGAATTGATAGTGAGTCGGTTAAAATTACTACATGTTGGGTATTTGAGTGACATCTTTGAATCGCCAGTAAGATGGCGATACCCTCCGCTGTAAGTATTAAGCAAATGGAAGGGACAGATCCAGACAACGATGAACCGGAGCGAGAATTGTAAATTGCTACTCCAGTCTTGTCTGACATCCGGGAAGCATCTGTATAGAGTAAAGTGTGGTAAGGTCAGCGATTGCGGACAACATCCCTGAATACGATCGGAAGTAAGTTTTTTGGTATCTTTTTATCTTAAAATGGGAGGTTGCATAGATGTATACGAACTTTTGACGGCAGCTGAGGAGCACATTGGGGTATATGAATCATGTGTTTGATGTTGATTCCGTGTTGGTTTAGCCAGTCCTCTGCTTGTAGAGGAAGAGCTGATTTTCTATAAGTACTCGGGATAAAGAGGTTACGGTACGTTATTACACTTAATGATTGGTAGTTGACTTGTCGTACATAAAAGCGCACCGAGAGCATATTGTGGCGTTCTTGGGGACTCAGACAACCTGTCTCCTGATAAAGCAGTGGTAATGGGGTTCACTTCGGAAAGCCTGTAGCAATGCGTAGTGCTGCATGATAAGCAGTGTCTAAGATCTTGCTCTCGCTGTTGCTAGCAAGGGAGTGAAGGTGGCAACCAAAGTCGAGAGTAGGTGCTACTATATATGACTGGACGATGCGAAGCAAGTGGCAAGAACGTAAGCCCCAAGAGTTTCTTGCAATACATTTCAGTATATTGAGCTTTTTCAGCTTGGATGTTCGTTTTTGTTGGAAATGGTGGCGATAGCTGAGATTTGAGGAGAAATAAATACCTAAAATGCGGAAGTGGGATGACCATATGATTGTTTCTCCTTGAAAGAGGAGATCGGGGAGGGGTTCAATCTGACGGTGGAAGAAGCCGATTGCTCGACATTTGCTACTATCTGCCCTTAGATGCCATTCCGTTAGCCAATTCTGCACTCGTAGTAGAGTTAATTGTAGTTTTCGAAGTACAGACTGTAGGCAGTGGGAGTAAATAAGGAGAAAAATGTCGTCTGCATACACAAAACATATGACTCCACCTGGGAGAATGTCAAAAATGTCGTTAATATAGATGATGAAAAGGTGAGGTGACAGCACTGATAACTGGGGCACGCCCTTGCTTGCACTAAATGTACTTGAGTACGTGTTCCTCCAACGCACTCTGAATTATCTCTCAGAAACAAAATCACAGATCCACTTATGAGCGGATCCCGAAATGTTGTGTTGTAGAAGTTTGTATGCTAAACCATCTGACCAAACGTGGTCGTAAGCTTGAGCGATATCCAAAGAGATGCCTATCGTAAAAAGGTGATTTGCCTTGGCAAATCGAATGCGGTGGTCTAGCGTGGAGAGAAAGCTGTCGCATCCACGTCGGGGAAGAAATACGTGGAGGGTTCATATTGTAGAAGATTTTGTTCCATGGCTATCGTCAAAGAACCTTTTTAATCGAACATTTTTCTTATTCGTACTGTTGTTCGTTCTGTATGCATGACATGTAAATCGATAAAAAGAATTTCCTTTTAAAATATTTAAAAGAATCTTGGAAGCTTTCTTAGTCTTGACTCTTTCTTTCATTGTAATGTGTTTTTTAATTTTATTTGCCAAACGCATGTTATGAGTGAGTCGGGAGACTGCTCGACTCCGACTTACATTAAGGAGTGATTAAAAAAAAAAAAAAAAACTTTTTTTCTTATAAAAATTATTTAAACAAATATTTATAATTACAAATCAAAATTAACACAAAAATTACTGGAATAAATATTACGACAATTATTTAAATTATAACTCAACTCAAACTTAATCACATTTGAACACTTTTGAGCCTATTTTTAACTAAACTATTGAAAAATAAAGCAAGAAATTGTCACAACTATTGAAAAGTCTTTATTAAAAATTATCTGCGTTACGTTTAAAATTTAAGAAATGTTATCTTTTAAATTCATAACACAAAAATCGAATTTATTTTAATTAAAAAAAACTGCTAATGGATTTTATGTATCATTTGTAATAGTTTCTTAATTGAGGAATATTCACTAAACAAACGTTTTTTGTGATCAAGACGTTTATATACCTGAGTGTGAAATATAATATTAATATCTAGCTCTTTTCTTATAATGATTTTGCACAATTTCAAAATACTTTGTACAAATATATTTTTTAAAATTTATCTTTTTTTTTAAATTTCACAATTTTAAAATACTTAGTACAAATATATTTTTTAAAATTTATTATTATTATTATTTTAATTCAGTTTATTTTGTTAAATATAACATGTGATTATATCTGAAAATGATAGAAACAGCTCTCATCTACTCAAATCTTACATAAAAATGGAAATATATATTTTAAGATTTGTATTTATTGTGTAATAATATTCATGCTTCCTTGAAATTCTATGAAAATTTTAAATTAAGTCGGCAACGGAGTCGAACTCTCTAAGCTGTCGTAGTCGAACTATCGTAGTCGATTTCAACTGCCGATTCCACATATCTGATTTCAAGTGGCCGCAAGAAGCTTACACTTCCGCCGCGAAGCACAAAAAACACCACCTTACAGTAAAATAGGCTTATTGGAAATAANAAAAGAATTAATTTAAGCAATTTATGGTCCATCTAACATAAAGGCTTAAGTTGAGTTACTTACTATTAACTTAAAATGACTGTTTTTTAAACTTCTAAGGTAATATGCCATTTTCCTGGCATTCAAGATTTGGTGAATTTCTATTTTATTTTTTTTCTCGAGCAAATGTCAATAAACTACACTGCTGTCTATAAGATATTAATAAGTGTAGCTAAAGGAGTATACAAAAAAATTTTAGATTATTTTGAAGACTTTAAATTTGAAAAAAAATTTTTGGTCCGAATTATCATGTTTCGTGAGAATCACCCATATATCAGGAGACACCAGAGCGATGTCCAGCAGTGATGGAAGATGATTTTGTCCGAAATGTGTAGGGATCGAGGAATTGAGAAGGCAGAGGTCTGCCGATGTGATGAAGTCCAGAAATTGATTTAATGATGGTGAAACGGAGAAACTCCCTAGAGCACGGTGACGAACAATTAGATCACCGATGAAAATGAAAGGAGATGAGAGATTATTTACAATGCTTTGAAACCAATTTATGTCCAGTTACATGGGGGAGAATAAATGTTCGCTATTGTAAGATTGGTGCCTTGGATGTTGAGAGTTACAACCAAACATTCATGCCTGGTTGTAGGAGGTGGAGGGTTCGTCTT